CAGGTTCCTCAAGAGTCTGGGCCTGCTGGTTTTCCTTTGGAGCCTATCCTCCCTTCCTGGTGCTAAGCAAGATGAATTTATAGACTGTGGGACTGGTCAGCCTCGCCCTCTGGCTGGTGAGCCTTGTTTTGTCACAGCACAGGTCCTCACAGGGCAGGACAATGATTTGAGAGAGATCATTTGACCTAACTTGAACGGTCTTTCTCTTAAAATTGGGATGATGGAGTCTGTTTTAGGGATTGTTAAGAACTGGTGTCTGGGACTCTGCTGTCACATAGTCTGGTGAGTCAGACATGGCATCTGCACTGGGGGCCTCTCATCTGTGCAGAGTGCTGTGGGCCTTGTACAGATAGGCTCCATTTGATGCGGCACTGCAACCTCACAACCACACCCTCTCAGACCAGGGAGAGTCAGCAGTCTGGGAGCTAAAGAGAATGCCTGAAGCCAGGCTGGTGTATTGGCAGCCTCTGGCCAGTTCTCACATGCAGGAACATCTTCCCCAGGTGGCAGAAATAGGGGCTCCCAGGCACAGTTCTATGAGACTCCAGCACTTCTGCATTATAGAGCAGGTGAGAAGGCCCAAGTCCAAGTGCAGCCCCAGCCCCACACTTAGAATATGAGGACTCTCACAGGAAGGGACAGCAGGAGTCCCTAAGCGGTGCTTCAGGCAGGAAAGGATGAAGAGTGTCTTACCCCTCTCCAAACTGCAGACACCAGAGATATATGCTATGAGTCAGAGGTACATCAGGAAGGGGACAGATTGCCCTCTGGGGATGCACACGCGCCTGTCCTTTAGGCATTTGCCATTGTTCTGTCGTCATCTGTCTCCCTCTGCTGGTTTCAGTGAAAGGTTTGTGAAAGAGAAACAATTCCCATCAGAGAAGAGGGGCCAGCTCTTCCAAAGGCCAGGGAAGCTGTTTGATCTTGACTTTCCATTCCATAGTTGGGGGTGAGAGCTGTGAATGTGCGTCCAGAATACTCCCCCAGCCCCCTGACCAGTCTTCTCTTCATTGGTTTCCTTCCCTGAGAGATGACTGGATGCCCCAAGGACTGCACATGCATTGCTTCAGGTTGGAGGAAAGGGCAAGGCAGGAATGAAAGGACAGGGGACAGAAGTAGACATCTGGGGACTGTGCCCTTGATTGGCCTCAGATTTCTGGGGCCCATGGAGCAGCCAGTCCTGTCATCCATCTTCTTGTGCCCATGTATTAAAATGGGCACATGAGCCTCAGCAAAGTCCAGAGAGCTGGCCAAGGTCACTTGGAAAACTGACAGAAGAGTCAGAAGGCAGCAGCGTCCAATGTGGAGTTGAAACCCGAAGACAAAAATCTGTCCCCATTCCTCCCCAAGGACTGGGATCCTCAGGGTACTATGTAGCCCCCTCCCCTCTAAGACAGGGCAACACTCACCTAGTGAAGACCCAGGTGCTGACTGGAGGTATGATGCCAGTCTCACCCAGGGTAAATGGGAGACCTGCATCACCCACAAGACAAATAGCGCCATCTCCTGGTCAGTAGTTGTTATTGAATTGGGCCCCCCCTGGGGGTTGCAGGTCTCACTCTAAGGTGATCCTTGGCCAGTGGTAGACACCTCTGAACTGTGTTCACTGGAGAGAACAAGGCCTAAGAATGAGGTGGCCCAAGGTAGTCAAAACAGTGGTCCTTCAGTCCAAAGTCCCAGGGGTCAGGGTGACACCTGCATGCAGACTACAGCTGCCAATGGACAGCTCCAAACCAAGGGGTGATGCTTTTAATAGGAAAAATAAAAGAGCCTGATTAGACATGGAGAGATTTGGGACCTTCTTGTCCTTGGGGGTCAGGATGTGATGGGAGGCCCTGAAGAAGCTAATGTGGGCCTGTGACTCTTAGAAGGCTTGGCCTGGGAGATTCTTGACTTGGGAGGAAGCTCCATCCCTCTGTGCCTGCCTGGGGAAGGTCCCCTGGTGCCTGTCAATCTGAGCACGCCCATCATAATACTAGGGCTTGATAACTTCTCCAGGCCTGCCCTGATACTAAGCAAGGCTAGGCCTCAATTCTTAAGTCTCAGATGTACACCTGGAGCAAGTGTCAGGCCTGAGGAGTGGCAGGCTTGGGAGCTGAGCCTTGATTCCTTCCTTTTTACTTCTTTCTTGTTTGACAATTTTATGCATGTGTATAATGAATTTTGGTCATCCTCCCCTCCATTACTTTACCTCCTCCTCCTCCTCCCTCTCCTACTGAAACCCTTCTTTTTCCCCAAGTTCTCATCCTATTTTCTTCTCTCTCTCTCTCTCTCTCTCTCTCTCTCGCTCGCTCGCTCTCTCTCGCTCTCTCTCTCATCTCTCTCGCTCTCTCTCATCTCTATCTCTATCTCTATCTCTATCTATCTATCTCTGTGTGTGAGATTCACTGAGTTTAATTTGGACTGCTTGCATGAGCATGAGTAGGGGGTTATTTACTGGAACATGGGCAATTTATCAGTGGTTATACCACTGAAGAAAATGACTCCCCCTCCCCAGCAATCATTAACAGACAATTGCTCCTCGCGGGTGGGACCTCATAAGCCCCTCCTCCTTCCATGATGGAATATTGACAGACCCAGTATTGTGCAGGTTTTTACAGGTCACTACAGCTGTGTGAGTTCATAAATGAGTCCTTTTGGGTGGCTCTCACCTCAGGAGTTTCTCTGAGTGTTGTGACTCCAGTGGAGTGCTCCCTCCTTCCCTCAAGTGGCCAGCTCATAGAGTAGAGTTACCTTCTGCTCGGCTCCTGGCCCCCAGACTTGCCTCCCTCTGGCACCAGCAGTGTCCTCAGGCTTACAGGCCATCTTCCTCTCCCCTCTGTTTGGGCTTATGGTAATCATGGACATTTTATTGCTTTAATAATTTAAGGTGCCTGCCACGGAAGTCGTTACTTTCCGCTAGGAGCCAAGACTCCACATTGCATGCTCACATCCTTGCTACTCTCTACAGGATCATGGAGCCAGAGTGTGAGAGCCAGAGCCACAGCACAGCTCCCCATGAGTGGCTGCCCCCATTGTGTGTGTGTGTGTGTGTGTGTGTGTGTATGCATCATGTGCCTGTGTGCTCATGTTGGTGGGAGCACTGGTGGCAAGCACTGGGAGACAAGAGCCTGATGACCTGGGATGGAGTTCTAGGTGGGAGGGCCTCTGTGAGAGTCCCTGTTGGGTTCACATCTGCCAGGGAGCCTCAGCCAGGTTGGTCTTTCCTACCAGAGACAGCACTAAGGGCCAGAGTAGGGGGCCTGGGAGGAATGTAGTGACCAGGCACCACCCCAGAAACAGGAGATGGCAGCTTACACTGACAGAAGGTGACAGTGACAATGGGAGGAGAAACCTGTGATCTGATCATTTGCCAGGGGTCTGTGTGCTGTTGTTAGGTTGCCTGTTTGAACTCGGCAAGCATGCTCTTACACAGCTGCAGGCTACAGAGCCCTCGTGATGGCCCCATAGCATGACTCCAGCAACAGACTGTCTAGATGGAGCTATGTCGGCCTCATGGTTCATCCTGGTGGGGCCAGCTGAGAGGCCTGAGTGGTCACTGGATACATCACCATCTCTGAACACAAGGCTTGAGAAAGGACTACCTCCCTGCCTCTGGTGTGTCTACACCACCTTCCATCTGCCTTGGGCTCTGAAGTGAGGCATGCTTCTTCCCTGAGGATGCACAGTGGTAGGGGTGCTCAGTGGTTTCACACTGGTGTAAGGGCATTGCCAGCAGACTGGAAGTCATTGGAGGGTTCATCTGTAAGGGTCAGGGAGGTCCTGAGCAGCGTCAGGAGCAGTTTCTTGAGCCTAAGAGGAAACATGCATGGCCTACACCAGGTTGTCTGTCAGATGACTGCAGCCCCACGGCCATCCTCCTGGTTGTCCATCAGCTGTTGTATATGAAAGTTCAGTAGGACACACCCTACCCCTCATTTCCATACTGCCCATGTGGCTTTTGCCCCTCAAGTGCAGAAGTTGGTCCCTGAAACAGGGTTGAAAACCCTGACCAATAGTCACGATCTGCCCCTTTACAGAGCATGTTGGCCAGTCCCTTGCTAGAACTACACTGCCCTGTATAGGAGCCACAAGCCACTAACTTGTGACTTTTTATATTTTATTTTATTAAAATTACAGTCATTGTATGCATGGAGGACTGGTTTCAAGACCCTTCTGGAAACTTAAAATACACAGATGCTTACATCCTTTGTATAAAATGTAGTCTGTATAGAACTGGCACACATCCTCCTGCATGTTCTAGACTGTTCCTAGGTAGCCTAAAATGCCATGTAAGCAACTTTTACTTAGTGTTGTTTAGGGAATATCCACAAAGGGAAATGTCTGTACATACTCAGTACAGATGCACACAGCATAGGTCTAATTACACAGGGCATGATTTCAGTACATTATCCAAGGCTGGGTTAAGAACGCTTGATACAGAGCAACAGCTGCACAGCTTCAGGAACAGATTCAGTCTTCAGCAGAAGTGTTCAAAGCACATGTGTCCATGGTGCATGCTTTGAACAGAGGAGATGGAACTTTCCATCATGGTGGAGCTTCTGGTGGGCTGTCATGGTCTAGAGGCACCAGATGGAATGAGGACCATGTTGCCCAGCATGGGTCCGGGTTGGGTGGGGTGAGAAGCTGCAGGTCAGAGAAGCCCCACTGGATCAAGGAGGAGGGAAAGGCCAACGAAAGGTCAGCACATACTTGCATACACCTTTGTGGAAGGTGGAAAGTGCTGTACTGTTTGGAAAGCTATTCTAGGTATGCGTAGTACCCTGGAGGTGGAGCTACTTTGAGAGACAATGGCTTGGGGTCCCTGAGTGACTCTCATCATACCATTCATGTGGAGTTCTGTGACATGCACAGGTCTCCCCGGAGCTGCAGATCTGAGAGAGCTCAGCCCTCCTCCTTTATCATTCTGGTTGCCATGTTCCTTGTGCTGGACTGGGTGTGCAAACCCTTTGTTCCTGGTGGTTCTCCTCTAGGAAGCCACTCACTCCACACCTCTTCAGTTCCAGGGCCCTGTGAGCCAGAAGACCTTATTGATGGGATCATCTTCGCTGCCAACTACCTGGGCTCCACCCAGCTGCTTTCTGAGCGCAACCCATCCAAAAACATCAGAATGATGCAGGCGCAGGAGGCCGTCAGCAGGGTCAAGGTAGGGATGCTTCAGGGCCCTGAGGACTTCCCACTTGGGTGGGCTCCTCTGGGGAGCCTGAAGTAGGTGAGCACAGTAAGGCACAGGGATTCTGTTCAGTCCAGAAAGCAGGCATGACCTAGAATCCAGGGATTCCAAAGGAGACTTGCACCATGGCTGGCCTGTGCTCAGCTCAGCACAGAGGCCACTGGCTCATTGGTGAAAATGGTCTACTCAGTCTCTGGGAAATACAAGTTTTCAAAAATAACTGATGGTTCTCAAGCATTGTAGCCTTCAAATGTATTTGTTTGGAGCCTTAACAAATGTGTGTGTATTTTTAGCACCAAAGTGCTTCTAGAAATGGGGAGGTATATATCAAGTGTTACTCAAATGCATGGCCTCAAGAAAAACTGTCCTACTTGTAGCTCTGTAGGCAGGCTTGGTTATATGATTTTCATGGTGGGTGAGGCTGGACAAGAGAAACATGATGCTATACCAGCAAAGCTAAGGGGTATCAGGTGGAGGGGATGTGGCAGTTCTGATGGTTGCTCCACACTGGCCAAGGTGATATCTACATATGCTACCAGCCCATGGAACTGAGCAAGGCTGGCAGCCTCCTCCATTCTCCTCACTGCACACTAACCTCCTTGGATGGAAGCAGAGGGTACCATGAGACAATCTGTGTTGGTCAGAAGAAGTAAAAGGAGAGAAGAGCAGTGCTGAGCTTGGTCGTACCTCTTAACAAGGGCTTTGGATCCCGGCGCCTGACACGTCTCGGCTTGTTCCCTGGTCCTGAATGCATTTCTCCTATCCTTGAGTATGCCCTCTGTACACAGGGCTATTGACAGTCATTTCTAACACTTGAAGTACACATGCATGGTTTCTCTAGAGGATGTGTGCTCAACCCAGCTGTGACTGCCCCGTCCCTGCAGGGGACTTCTGCTGGGTGCCGAGTTGGATTCCTGGGTATTAAGCAGAAGACTGAAATAACCTTGCCGCACCTTCCTTCCTTTTGTGCCCACCTGCTTCTCTCTTCTCTTCCATGCTGCGCAGAGGATGCAAAAGGCTGCTAAGATCAAGAAAAAAGCGGTGTGTAGGACCTTTGTGGGCCTGGAAGAGTGTGTGTGTGTGTCCCCGTGTGTCTGTGTGTCCGTATGTGTCTGTGTGTGTGTGTGTGTGAATGTGTGACTTGCCCTGTGCATGAAGGGCTTCCAGTGGGAATCCAAACAGTACTGCACAGCCTTGGTTTTCTCCTCCCTTTCTAGGAGAGTGATAGACTTTGGAATGAACCCACATACTTTTGACTGCCTACTTGCAGAAGAATTTAATTGTTGCATTTTTAGTTATTTTTCTTTTTACTGTCTCATATGTCCTGGTGCATGGCTAATGTGAGGGGATCCCTGTGTTAGATGAACATTTCTTAATTTTAAAATTTTTATTATTTTTTAAATTTTATGTGTATGAGTGTATTACCTGCATGTATGTAAGTGCACCCGTGTTATGCAATGCCCTGTAAAGGTCAGAAGAGGGTGTCAGATCCCCTGGAACTGGAGTTATGTATGGTTGTTAACTACCATTTAGGTGCTGGGATTTGAACCTGGGTCCTCTACAAGAACAGCCAGTGCTTTTAACTGTTAAGCCATCTCTCCAGCCCCCTGGGTAAACATTTCTAAATGTGGCATTTGCTATGACAGTGTTGTGTGTCTAGCACTCAGCTTCCTGCATAGTGTTAATTATATTGTTCTGCTATCTGAGCCCATTAGGCTTCACCCACTAAACCAGGGTAATATGTAGTTTGTCTGGGAGCTGCCTTCTCTACTGGGTATAGCTCAATGGCAGAGACTTGCCTAGTGAGCAGGAAGTATTTGGCACATACACATGAAAAGAAAAGAAAAATTAAAATTAAGTAGCCTTTTGAGTTTGAGCAGACTTTTAAAGATTGGGTTGACCTTTAGTCCTTAATTTATTGACCTAGTTATTTGGTAGATGCTGGACATTTTCTAAGTCCTCATATAAAACATCAGCATGCTTGATGTCAGAAGTCCTTGGACAAATCAATGGAGGCAGCACTGGTTTGTTACCCCTTTCTTCTCTTTCCTTCTGCTTCAACAGCAAGAGATCTAATTCCCCTGTCCTCAAAGTGATGCTTTCTGGTGCTGAGGGGACCAGGTAGGGGACCCTACCTGCTGGGCTCCCTTTCCCTGCATTGGATCCCCTGTCTGGGGAAACTCACTCTTCCTCTGCTCATGCAGGCCCGATGCTAAAAGCTTCCAGGCAAAGCAAAGTGGGTCCCAGTTACAGATCTGAAGTTAGGGTGTGCTTCACCCCCCCCCAAAAAAACTGGCTCCTTCCCTGCAGCTGCCAGTCTACCCATGGGCTGCCCAGGCTTGAGGACAGCAGGAACACTGGGGTTTTTATGGGTTGCAGTTTGTTCCTGGGTCTTCAGGTGCAGAAATCCTATAGTTGCAGATTTTGGTGAGGCTGGGTATAGGCCAGCCCACATCATAAAGGCCTTAGCATCCAGGCCAAGCCACCTTTGATTAAGGAGTGTTCTTTATTTGAGGGCAGTGAGGTGCTTGGAGTCATTACCCAGGTCCCCATTTCTGGGCTGGCCAAAGTAGTAAGGCAAACAGCGCTGGCTGAGTCTCAGCATGCCCTGTTCTCTGGTGTCTCTCTGTAGGATCTGAGCTATTCCATCTTCTGCCAGGGTAGGTGATAGACAACCTGCCCCCTCCCCCTTGTCCAGTTTCAGCTCCATCCATTTACCCACTGTTCAAGTCTAGTCCACCTGAGTCTGTTTATTACAGGATTCAAGTTTATTCACTGTACTCCCTAACACCAAGACTAACCTGCAAGTTTTCTTTAAGCAAGAGGGTTTGGGGCTATAATCCCAGAATATAACTTTTAAAAATGTAGCTACACATTTGTGTGAAGATACCATGATGAAACCCATCATTTTGTATGCTAACCTAGACAATTACTTCTTTTTTTTTGAATTAGGAAATGAGTCCATTGGTGCTGAATATAACCCACTTAAAAAAAAACAAACAGAAAAACATCCTTCACTGCTTCACTGTCCTGGAGACTTTTTCAGCTTGATTGTTTAGGAATCTATCCTTTTTCTATATAGTTCAAAACAGTATCATCTTGTGGTAGACCAACAGCCCCAAAGATCTTTACCCTTGAAAACTGAGTGTGCTGGATAGCTTTAGTGTCAACTTGACACACCTGGGTTGAGGGAGCCTCAATTGGGGAATTGCCTCTATTGGACTGGCCTGTGGCCATGTCTGAGGGGCATCTTCTTGATGAGTGATGTGGGAGGGGCCAGCCCACTGTGGGTGGTGCCACCCCTGGGCAGGTGGGCCTGTGTTGCATAAGAAAGCAGGC